GTCATGAATAACTTGCTTAAACATAAAAGTATTAGTTCCGTTACAGTTTGATTTCTTTGTATGTATGGATCACTTGGGTTGTTACTGACATCTGGTGAAAATTTCATGTCATTAGCACCTCTAGAAATATATTTACTGAGAAAAATGGTGACGTGTTCAATACTTATTTTACCCGCTGTATAAAATGTTTAGTTCATTTCCTCTCAAAAACAAATTCTTCAAATTTATCAGTTCATTTTTCCAAACCATTGCTGAAATATCAGCAGACGGATCTTTAGAAATGCTAAAGATGTTTAAAACCAAGTTTTTCTTACAGTGGAAATTCCTTCACTGTTGTTAATCAAATGGCTACAAGAGATGGTTCAGATCTTTAAAAACAAGAAGCTGTAGGAAGGTTATAAAMAGTTATTATCTTACCTGTTGTAGATAGCTGTTTGAATGATCCAGGACGAGCTAACGAGTTCACAAGAAAGCTTTTTTTACGACCTAACATCCTCACAGATTTGACTTGACTAAAGTAATAATAGTTTTATTTATAACGCACTTTACATTTACAAAAATGTCAAAGCGCGTTAAAACATAAAAGCAATCCACTACTTCTTTGCCCCATTCAGGCTAGCCGTTAGCTCGTAAATGCGGTCCAAATTAAACAATTTTTCCAAACTGCAAAGAGGTTTTTAACAACAAATAATTTATTTGTTTATAACCTTTCCACAGAAGCCCACTTCAAAAGATCAGAACAACTAACGTATTTTGGGTCTTTGTTCTGTACGCATGTTTTGAAGCTTTGTTTATTCATATTCTCTCCTCTTGCTGTTTACAAACACTGAAAGAAAAAAGAAAGAGTTCCCAGGTATCAGTATATTAGACATTTGTAGTCACGAAAGAGACTTTTGTAAATATCTCGTTACAGATGCTTTGACGTTTCAGAGAAAATACTGTAAAAGTTACTGATTTCCATTTTTCCAATGAAACAAACAAAACAAAACAAAAAAAATCACAGTTCAAATCAGTTTTAAATCACAGGAGAGAAGAAGCGGATCTCGTCACACGTCATTAATAACAACTAGGCTGGAGGAACCCGAGGGGCCTCAGTCAGCCGCACTAACGTAGACGCTCCAAATATTACAGACAATATTTTACAAGCTAACAGCAGCGTACTGCGAMAGAGTGGGCACTCATGGACTTTATGTACAAAGTCAGGCGATGTGAAAAAGCCACCTTCACAGCCAAACCTACAAAACGGATCTAAACCTAATACTGAACATGTAGAAGAGAGAACTGGTATTTTGATTTTTTTTTATGCAGAAGGGTCTTTGTAGYGTGTTCTTGCACAAATTAAAACTTTTAAAATTAGTCGAAATTTTTATGATTCAAAATTCCACACGATGCATCTACGTGTTATATATTTCTAGCCACACTTTCACTGTTTCTCTGCCTTTTTTTTTGTTTTTGTTTTTGTTCCGCTCAAACAAACCATGCAGAGAACCAATCCCTCTACGCTTGAAACGCCGTTCAGCACAGTGGCACTCAATTCAGTCAAATGGGCAGTGATTGCACACTTTCCAAAGAAATGAGTTGATTCACATCAGATCTGATTTTATCCCCGTAACATGAGTGTTCTCAGGCATGACTTTATTTTTTTGTCTTCCCACCCCCCCCATCTCCAAGTCCCTGCAAATTGCTCCCACGGGGCATGGAAGGCAAATGAGCTGATATGTCGGCAACAGATTGAACGCGTCTGTTTTCTACACGGCGACAGTCAACATGTAATCCACCAATATGTTTCCACGACCGCCTATGATTTTTACAGCTATTACTGTGCCGTGTTTCTCTCTCTCTCTTTAGAAAATCACTGGAGTTCCACTTCGTCGAGCTTCTCGAATCAAAATTACTTGAAAGGCTTCTTGAGGCAAGGAGGCAGATGCGCGGTCGTGGCTTCCTACAAAAGCTGCACTCGTGTGAGCTGTAGCGTCGTGGATGTGAAAACAAAGACCAGGCCAAGGAGTAAAGTGGAGGGCTGAAAGCGGTGGAGTTCGGCCGGTGAGCTTCTGGGAACAGCGTTCGATGAGCCGGACTCGTCCAACCGGTGGTTCTAAATGACAAAAATAAATAMATAAAYAAATAACTCAAAGGACTTGACTTGATTTAAACCCCCATAAAACTCATTTAAAACATGCAATGTGGCACTGTAATGGCATTTTCCACAACATTATTTAAACCAAAAAAACCTTCAGAATGAAATCCAGTAAATTTTAGTCTTTTGAGAACCTTAAATGCACAGAATAAAACTTACCGGACAGAACGCCGTGCCCGCTGTTTGATTTGAAACCAGATTTTGGACCTTCAGGGAAAACAAGAAAAATGGTAGAAAAACATTAAATTTGATTTTTTTTCTCCCCCCCCCCTCAACAGACTCAGGTGAATATACTTCAAAGTGTTGTTTTTTCCTTAAAGTACCAATGGATTTAGGGGACTTGTGTGGACCTTTGGATGTCATTTTTCACTTTAAAGTGATGGTTCACATCTTTTGAAGTGGGTTTTTTTTTATTGTGGAAAGGTTAGAGGCATCTGTTATACTTGTTGTGGACGGCTCTTTCAGTGGCATCAGGTTGGAGAAGCCGATAAGCCTGAGTGGGACAAACAACGAAGAGGATTGGTTTTTTTGTTTTTTAACAACTCGACTCAAAATTCTGCACAGCGGTACTTGCCACGTAGAAATTGACAGTGATTTTCAAACTTTGTTGTTTTTTTTGGTTTGTGGGTGCTTTTTGAGAACACAACACCTTCCACCAACTCCACTGGAGAAAAACAACCCGTAGCATCCCACAAGCTGTTGGCAATTTATTTTATTTTGAAAGGATTTTAAAGTGGAAACAATGTTCATGGGTGCGCTCAGCTTTACTGCCAGGATACGTACACATCCCTCCATGTTTATTCAATGAACCAATGACAGAGCGGCAGGATTAGCAGCAGCTCACATCTTTGAGCTCAAAGCTTTTGTTTCATCCGAGGGATGCCCTGGAAGTGCTACAGCTAGCTGACGCTGACACGTGTTTGGGCTTGTTTTAAAATCACAACAATTCATTTAGCTTGGATGCCCATATAAATCCTCAATTTKGTCATTCAAGAAGTTAAATACAACATCAGATATTTTAATTGTTCATAACTTTTTCATGGAACCACACTTCAGAAGAGCTGAACATTCACTTAAAGTACAGGGACTTTTTTTAGATTTAAATATGTAAGAATTAAATCAGGAARCACTAACATTTTATATCTGTGCTTGCTCAAGGTTATAAAAGTTTAATACATTAAAACAGTTCTAGACTTTTTCAGCCCCCATCTAAAAATACCAACTTGCGTTCACACATAAAACTAGATAAAAACAAACAGAGATACAGCGTTGGAGAATAAAAAATGATAAAGTGACTCTTTAATGTTTGGAAACAGAATAAACACTCCATGTTTTGGTTCTTAAGTGGAAAGATTTCTATGAACCAGGGTCCTGGAGAAGAATGATTAATTGCTCTATCAGAGGTCTTTCCTCCTAAAGGATGTTTTACTGGTGATAAATCATATTATCGCTATTGAAAGCCAATATGATAGATTGTTTCGGTTAGAGGAGGCTATGTGATATCATCTCATTTATAAATAAAGCCCCAAAGTATTTATCAGAGAGGAATGGCAAATATCTGGAGAGCGCTGGTCATGAAGATTTTGCCCTAAGGAACCAAATCTGCATCATTACTGTTTGAACCAGGGGTGCCCAAACTTTGTCCCCGAGAGGGCCAATAYAAAGATCTATGAGGGCTGTGGGCCAAATTTAATAATATAATATATGAAATGCAAATACTTTTTAAGTAAAGTCCTTCTATTTTTAAAGGGATCCCTGATTAGTTGTAACATTAGACTTTATTTGATAAACATTGATTTTAACTGTAAAATAAAGACTGTAAAAATACTGTAGCTGTTTAGTTTTGTAAATTTTTTAAAAATATATTTTAACACAGACGGGGCCATTTTATTTGCACGCAAAGCATTCTGGGTAAATAATGACGTGGATAGGTCCTCGGTGTGAGCGAGCTATATCCACCCTGAAGGTTAATCTTGGACAATATCTGATGATCGACTCTTTTAAATGAAACCAGAGAGCGTTGACAGAGAGGAGAAGGTAGAAATGACTCAGCCTGTAACTGAAAATATAGATGGAGGACAACAGAGCTGCTTCATGGAAGAAGAACCTCAGCTTAGCCTGTTAGCTTTGCGCTAGCACCGACATTATATTGTCTTATATGCATTAGCTCAGCGCTAGCACGACAAACAAGCTAAACTGAGGTCCTCCATCCATACTTTCAGTGGCAGGCTGAGTCATTTTTGCGTTCCCCTCTCTGTCATGTGGATGGAGGACCTCAGTGACGAGAGGAGAATGTGTAGCGCTGAGCTAATACATATATATGGTGATAGCATCAGGGCTAACGCTAAAGCTAACAGGCTAAGCTGAGGTTCTTCTTCCATGAAGCAGCTCTGTTGTCCTCCATCCATATTTTCAGTTACAGGCTGAGTCATTTCTACCTTCTCCTCTCTGTCAACGCTCTCTGGTTTCATTTAAAAGAGCCRATCRTCAGATATTGTCCAAGATTAACCTTCAGGGTGGATATAGCTCGCTAGCAGCCTCTCACCAAGGACCTATCCACACTGTAAAAAATGAAATGTTGGATTTACTTAACCATGTTATGTTACCTGGTTCCACTTAACTGAGTTGAGTAAATTCAAAGCAATATACCAGTTTTTTAGCCAAAGAACATGAGTATGTTGCTTTGAATTTACTCAACTCAGTTACAGTAAGTGGAACCAGGTAACATAACATGGTTAAGTAAATCCAACATTTCATTTTTAGAGTGCATGTCATCATTTACCCAGAATGCTTTGCATGTAAATAAAATGGCCACATCCTTGTGATTTATTAACTTTTAGTTTAAAAATGATAAAAACTGAACATCCTACAGTATTATTACAGTCTTTAATTTACAGTTAAAATACATGTTTATAAAGTCTAATGTTGCAACTAATCGTGGATCCTTTTAAGGATTAGGCTAGCAGCCAGTGTGATGGCCCACGTTTATCTTATATTATTTTTTTGCTTTTCTTATAGCCTGTGCCCTCAGACAAAGTTTGCCATATGCTTGGGCAGAAAAGGCTCATGGCACATTTCATAAATTGATAAAATACAAGTTTTTGTGGTCTTATAAAGTGTGCAAATCTACATGTATGCTTAAATCTAATCTAAATATATTTTGCAGTTATATTTCACGTTTAGTCTTAATATATCAAAGATAAAGTAAGCACCATAAGTGAAGACTTTCTGTACTACAGCCCCTTGTAGTCACTGGGCCAACACATGGAATGCCTTTAAGTGGAAATACTGCAAACAGCTGGTGGGCCAGTTCTGGGCACCTCTGGTTTAAACCATTACAAAATTAAACATTGTTATGCATGGAAACTGATGTGGATATATGGTTATGGATGGCTTTGTGTGGTAAAGACAACAACTCCAGTTCTTTCCCACCATTGATGGTTTACTGAGGAGAAAACATATAGTTGATCTTTGAAATTGTATTTAGCCTCTTTCCTCCACACACACCGTCACACTGACTACCCCTTTAGGCCATTTCAGAGGTTACAGAGGCAGCCAATTAGCTTTCACATGACAGMTTCAGAAACTGTGACTCCTCACTGACAGATCATCTTTCTGCCCAGGAGGGTGGATTCTGTGCCTGCCTTCAAAAGCCCACCCCTGACCTACCAACGAGGTGACGTAGTCAGATGTCTGACACTCAGAGGCTTTGAAGACATCCTTTATTGACATTTAGATCGCAAGTTGGTTTCTGCTCTCAATTTGGTTTCTAAAGTTTTCAAAAGCACATAAAGGGTTTATTCATCAAAAGTTTCATCAAGGGTAGTGGACTTGAAATTAAAGGAAATTTTTGGCAATTGTTTTTGCAGGATGCACTTCCTGACTCAAAAAGAAAAAAAATTGTATAGGTCTTCTGGACGGGTTCTTCTCTAATGAAACGTTTCGTCTCTCCTCCAAGAGACTTCTTCAGTCTGAGAGTTTCAGGCAAAATTCAGGCTTTTAAGCCCTGCCTCCATGTGACTGATACTCACATCACATGGCTATCGTTGACACCTAATTAACACTTATTGTTAACAGAGGGTGGAGTGATACTGGCAATGGCCGCTCTGTAGGAGGGGGACAACTGAAAACAGAGGCCTCCACCTCTGTTTAATGATGGACGGTCTTTCTTYACAAAAATGGCTTCTTTTACTCCTCTCTCAAACCAACGTTCCTCTCTATCAAGAATGAGAACATCCTCATCTCTGAAAGAGTGACCGCTGGCCTGTAAATGAGTGAAAACTGCAGAGTTCTCGCCATTAGATGTAGCTCGTCTGTGTTGGGACATTCTTTTGAACAGTGGCTGCTTTGTTTCCCCGATGTATAACTGGTCGCAGTCCTCCTGGCACTTAACAGCATATACAACATTGCTCTGTTTGTGCCGGGGCACCGGATCTTTGGGGTGAACCAGCCTTTGCCGTAATGTGTTTTGGGGTTTGAAAGCCACTGGGACATCATGTTTAGAAAATAAACGTCTCAGTTTCTCCGAAACACCCGCAACATACRGAATAACMDCTGGTTTGGGTCTGGGTTTGGTGACTCAATCTCTAAAAATAAAGGCCCTGATCTCTGCAAGCATTCAGTAAACATCTAAACAATCATGGTTTCTTTAGAGACACTAGGAATAAAGGTGCACCTGCAAAGTCCCACAGATSTCATATGAGTTGCCATTAAGCTTCAGTTGGGTCACATCTGTCAGCAGGTCCACAACATTATTTGTTTGGGCTTTCCCTCTCCGAGTGATGCTGGGCTCTACAGTTGGATTGATTGGGGGTTGGGGTTGCCACACACCAACATCAGTACCATTTCCAAATGCCTGGATGGCGTTACCTAAAAGACAAAAAATCACTGACTTTGAGTTTTGTAAACAACAAATTTACATAGTGTGTATCAAGATAACATGGTAAATATATGCACCATAAAGTAGGACATATCTCAGTATGCCCTCTGAGATATGTTCTCAGAAATTATCCATGATCTATTAAGTGCAAAAAACTGTTACAGAGGCTGTTGGTCAATTGTCAAATTACAGAGCAAGTAATGTGTTTATATGACACAAGATGGACAATTGAAAAAACAAATAATATTTAAATCCACTGCCTCACAGTAAAATGWCAGTCCATAAAAGTGAACAATGTGAACTTACATCAAAAAGAAGAACGGTGACTGGAGGGTAATATATTTAAGAAAAGAAGCAGAATGGAAGAACTTACGCAGACATCGATTGTTGGTGAAAAACTCTGCAAATTTATCACAGTCTGGCTTGCTGTTCCCACTGCTGCTGCAGTTACACCACGGTGACAGGCTAATACCAGAAGACCGCACATAATTGGGTGTCATCACTGTACCTGCAGGACAAAWGAGAACAAGACGACTGTCAGTCGTTGCAGTCCTTACATTAGGGCTGAAACTCTRACAGGACACTTAGAGTTTAACAGAAACTTTTCCACATCTTCAAGCTGAACATTCAGCTTTTTTTCTGACATTCCACGTTATTCACATCAACCCCGATGTCAACAACAACTTCCAAAACGYTACACGTAGCTTCCAACAGTTCTTCTGTCGGCTAACATGCAACTTTCTTTACAGAATCTCCTGCAGATTTCTCATTTAGCCTCTCAGGCTGTAAGCTTAGTTGAATATCTCTCTGGCAAGTTATTTTTTTTATAATTCAATACAAATTATTAATCCATTTTTGGGTAATATCTTACCAATCAGACCAGAATAAGCAAGCAAACAATCAGAATAGTTCTCTCTCAGACAGCCAGATTTGGAGCGAATCTCTGGCTGACAGTTGCTGAAGAAATCTGCCAGCCTCGACCTACAAGAGAAAGATAAGAAACAACAAACAGTCAACAGAGATAACACAACGGAGGAAAAAACTAAACAAAATAGAATTTTATTTATACTTGCTTAGAATATTTTTACTGGGAGAGCGGGGTATGTATTTTCTTAGGTTCATAGTTCAATTCTATACCCCAGTCAAGTAACTATATTCCCTTCAGTYGTTATGAAAAAGCTGTATCCTCTGTATCTTTAAGAACCTACTGTTTCCGACACTCCCACTTCAGCTTGTTTTTAAACAAAGCTTCGGGGAAGGGGTGCTCTGTGTAAAYATGTGCTTTATRAAAATAGGCGGTGCTTTGTACCAGCATGAGTWTAGGCAGCTCCAGATGGCTACAACAGGAGATGCAAGGATGTCTCAAACATGCATGAATGAGTCAAAGAAAAACTCTGGGTATGTTTTGATGAGGAAATGACTTTATAACATGATACAAAGCTTAAAAATGTTGACTTTCCRTAATACCCCCCCYTATTTATTTYTTATTTTTTTAATGGGAGACTATGMATGCAGCTTTAGGACAAAACCTATACTTCGCTAGACTTTCAAYTAATATACTTTTTAAACGTGCTTATATTTCAAATAGTGTATAGAACAAACTATAATATATTTTCTTTAACCGTAGCAATTCCTCATTGATTTCGAACTATAATATACTGTGTGTTTTTTTTCAGGTTATCCTTAAGATTATAAAAGTTTCCATTTCAGCTTTGCAGCAGAGCAGTAGGTTACCAAACAGAACACATACAAATGTGCTTATTAGCATGTATTTAGGTATCTGTTTTCACCATTTGGTTCCTATTTTACTCATTTTGATTGTCCAGATTATAAAAAAGGATGAAAATCAATCTATTTTCTTTAATGTCTCTTAACTTTAACCTAAGTCATGMTCTATTCACTGCAACTTTCAATGAGATTAAAATTTTTTTGGTCACATCCATATGTATGAAGGATTGAGTTATTTTGGGATTTTTATTATTTATATTAAAGCTTCAATTTTACCTGCAGATATAGTTGGTCTTGCACGTATTCTGGAGAGAAAGACAGTTGGGTTTGTCATGATCCTCATAGGAACAGATGGGTACGATGGTTTGTCGTCTGCGCTCGGCACATGCTGTCCTGTCTCCCACTGGACAGGAGCAAAACAGCATCCCGTAGCTGTATTTAGGTGGAACCTTGAGTTTGGAAACAACACAGAAATACAGTGATGTAAAGCTTGCGGCTCTCATGCAATCCACAAGAAAAAAAAAAATCTTCTAGGAAGCATCCATGTTCCCGCAGACACATCASACATCAAGAGTAATGTTCAGTGAGATAACAACACGCGGAGTTGCATTTTATCACAACCGAGACCTCTACAAAAAGAATGGATTAAAAATGAGTTCGATGTAAAAAACATCACGATGAAAGCTTTTTTTTTTTCTCGATGGTTCGTCTCTTGGGAGACATATTAGTTTGARTGTCAACATCAAAGTCAAAYKYAATAAAAGYGCTCGAACTCGCTTAATTACCTTGTCAAAGAACTGTCGTAGAGCCTTGTGGCATTTGCGCTTGTTGCACACTTCAGAAGCGGACACCCTGCTAGTGCAGGGGTTGATGTAAGCCGAGCGATATTTCTTACAAGTGTCATTCAGGTTGCAGGCCTTGGCAGCATTCAAACAGTTGTTCTCCTTAGTGGAAGCAGGTTCGGCTAGGACAGAAGACAGAAATGATTTGAAATCAAGAAATGATGTCTACTTCAAGCCTGAAGAGTCACTTAAATTGAGGAAACGTGTAATATTCAGAAGGTTTTTTTTCTTTTTCTTTTTCTTTTTTTTTGTTAGAGCAGTTCCCTCACAAYGATGCATTTCAAACTAGAATAACAAATGTATATCTTGCATCTCGTTAAACCATCTAATTAAAATCTAACCATGCCTATGAAAGCGCCATTTCCACAGGAAAAACTTAATAAATATCTCTTTGCTCCGGTGTTATACTGTATCAGGTAATTCAGCAATAAGAGATRTTGTGTTACTGGCATTTCTGCCTCTATTATCCAAATGACAGAAAAYTGGAGATTACCCCAGAGATCTGCAGCCAGAGCAAAGCTTAAAATTATCCTTCCAATTTTCCCACAGACATCTTTTGATATTTTAAGTGGTAAAACCTAATCTGTGAGAAATTTGCTCTGAATTYTCCAACTCAAAACATTAAACCTACGAGAGCTTTGAGCCCAAGTGTGATCAGCCGCTGTTGCTTTTATGGTCTCTAACTGACGAATGAATGGAAATAGAGGGAATAAATGGATTGAGGATGACGAAGAGAGGGAAAACAGCAGAGTTCAACGCRACAGGGAACAGGTGTGTGTGGGCATAGCGGAACTAAAGCATAAGAGATGAACTGAAGAAATGGCTGAAAACACAGGAAATAAGCTCAAAGTATTAAAAAWTGAGTAAACTTTAAAAAAATATTATCAAAAACCAACACAAAAATATAGATCTTGACATGTTTATGTCACAGTCTGTTTCTCTAGTGTGTTTTTCCTTGGTTATTTGCTCTTGGTTTGTTTACTGATTTCTCTATGGTTTCCTGTTCAGTTCCTCCTGCTCGTCTCTGCTCTGGCCCCGCCCATTCTCACCTGTTCCCAGTGTGACTCCTCCAGGTGTTCCCTGCTCGTTAGTTCCTCTTTGAATTCTGTCGTGTTTGCAACCCTGTGTCTGCTTCTGTTCCTGACAAATCCTGCCTGTAAGTACGTTTTGCTGCAATCAGCCATTTCTTGTTTAAGAAAGTTTGGTTTAAAGGGAACACATCATGCTCTTAAAAGGATCCATGATTAGTTGTAACATTAGACTTTATATGATAAACATATATTTTAACTGTAATATAAAGACTGTAAAA